CTAGAACAATACTTCCCCAAAAGCACATCCCAGACAGAAATGGATCTGGAAAAATTCTAAATTATCTACAAGAAAATTAATTAGTGAAACAAAAGCTAAACTTCAAAGTCTGAAAGTCTGTGTCCTGGGCTAAAAAGGGTTTTCCCCTGGAGTTGGAAAGTGTTTAACTCCAGGGGGGTGATGTTCTTGGTGTTGACCCAATCAGTGCCCCTGCAAAATTAAAACATATCACACCAGACCAGAAAAGAAGGGAGAAGATGACATAGTTGGAGGAGAAGTAGCCATGTTTTAGGCCACAAGGAGAGAGGGGCCAGGAGCCTTGCTGGGGGCCAAGGCCCCCCAGCTCTGGCTGGGGGCTGCAGGAACTTGGAACAGTGTTAAACTGGGCCAAGTACTGTGGCTAAAAGCTGGGGGGGTTTCCTTGCTGTAAGTGGACAGCCAGAGACACTGAGACGGTGGCAGAGCAGCACTGAACAGAGATCTGTGGCTGAGAGTCAAAGAAGATAACAAGCAGCAGAGATGGCATGGAACCAAGCTGAGAGACGCAGAGCTGTCCGACGGAGAGAGAGAGGACCAAGCTCAGCAGAGGCTGTTTGGGGGTGAGACTCCAAACCCCAAACCCTTCGGAGATCCCTTTTTTTGGAAGAGGAGGGGGTGGACTTCCACTTGAAGGAAGTCCTGAAATGCAGAGATGTCCTGGAGCTGGACCGGGATGGCCAGGAGGAACACAGGGAAGGAAGATGCTTTCCTTTCCCCCTTTGCCATACTGGCAGTTTGAGACAGAGCAAAGGAGCTCTGGTAGAATGCTTGGGGCAAAGGCTGAACTGAGAGCTGCCTCAAACGTTCTGACTTAGGAGGAGCTTGAATCCCCCAAGGAAGGGACTTTCACGGGATGCCCTGCATTCCGTGATATGACCATGGTGAAGCGAGTGTTTGTCCCTGCAGGCAGTCCACGGGTGAGACCTTCGGTTGGAGCTGAAGGGCTGAGAGGGGTGAGAGAGAGACCCCTGCATTGTAATGGAGAGAGAGAGAAAGATATTTTCCAGCTACAACAACTCCAGCTACGACTGCTGCCTTGAAGAGGAGAGACACTGCTGCCCTGGAAGTGGAAAGGATCTTTCCTTCTTCCCTTCTGAACTTTTATTGGAGGGAAAGGAGGGACTTGATCTAATGTAAATATGTTGCTTTACCATAGGAGAGATAGTTAGAATTGTGTATATAATGTATTATAGTATTTATTTAAGTAATAAACTGTGATATAATTCCCTTTCCCCCATACTGAGTTGTGTTATGTCTGGAAAACCCTTTCACACTGAAATAAATTGTAAGAGGGGGGCTTGGACTTGGAAATTGGATTTTTGAGGGTCTCAAACCGCCACAGTCTGACCTGTTGTAAAAGGGCTGAGAATGCCGGTGGGAGCTCACATGAAAAAAAAAATCCAACTTTTAAAATTACTTTTCTGATTCAAATGCTTTTAGAAATTGCTGCTTGACTGAGTTTGAAGAAACACTCTCTCTCTCTCTCTCTATATATACACATATACACACAGAGAAGTCTGAAAGAAACTAGCATGTCAGATCAGACATTACCTTGCTGGAATAATTTGCAATAAATTTCAGGAAGCTGCATATTAAATTTGTTTCTTAATGTCAGTGAGCCAGCTAGAGGACAAGAAAAGCTGAGGGAAGATGGCCTTTACCACCGATGTCTCAGACCTTCTCTCTCTCTTATATGCTTGGTGTTCTCTTTGCAGTGTTTGTAAATGTCCTTGCCTAGATGGTAACTTACAAGAATAATAAAACTGTGTTGGAAATAGAGTAAGAACTGTTCTTCTTAGGAAGACAAGAAGATTCAAAGTTCTGATCATGCCAATGTCCTATGGGAGTAAGGGGTAACTCAAGAAGGATAACTTTAATCATAGAATCATCTAAGTTGGAAAAGACTTTTAAGTTCATTGAGTTCAACCATAAACCTAATGCTGTCAAGTGCCACTAAACTATATCCCTAAGTGCCACACCTACATGTTTTTGAAATAGCTCCAGGGATGGTGACTCAACCACTTCCCTGGGTAGCCTGTTCCAATGTTTGACAACCCTTTTGGTGAAGAACTTTTTCCTAATACCCAATCCGAACCTTGAGGTCACTTCTTTCATTCTATTGTTTGTTACCTGGGAGAAGAGACTGAGCCCCACCTGGCTACAACCTCCTTCAAGGTAAATGTAGAGAGTAATATGCCTCCTTTTCTCCAAGATAAACAACCCCAGCTCCCTCAGCTGCTCTTCACAGGACTTATGCTTCAGACTCTTCACCAGCTTCGTTGCCCTTCTCTGGATATGCTCCAGTGCCTCAATGTTTTTTTTGTAGTGAGGGGTAGAAACAGATTTGAAGGTAGAGATAATATCCCCTCACTACAAGGACCCATGGATTATTTCCCAATGGCTAAATGGAAAGAAGTACCAAATACAAACACAGAGATTCCTTGCACCAAATCAGGTATGTCTTTTATGTCAAGTTTAGTGGTTGAAACTGTTCAAAATTATAGCTAAAATGAAGAAGTTATAATTTCTGTAGCCCTTAACATATTTTTATTGCATATTTGAACATAAGTTTAAATTAAACTTCTTGTTCCACGTACAATTTAAGCACCAAGAGCCACCAAAACAAGGGTACTTTGAATTCTTTTCAGGATGGTGAGTCTGGTTTTTCTCTTATTTTCAAATGCCTGGATTTTGACCTACTCAAGTGAAGAGTTCTGTTCCAGACTTAGTGGCTTTGACCTTTATGCGTTCTTTTATGAAACACTTTCTGTAATAAGCTTTTCTTTGCCATCACCCGAATGGGAAGTGAGACCTTTGAAATCAATTTCAGACAGCAGGCCTGCTGGTCAGAGCTAAGTATCTTGTTCTGTCAGACTGCACAATGCTTCAAAACAATTTCTTGTCCATTTCTGAAAGATTCCCCTCAATTGAAAGAGAAAAGTAACAGTAAATAATTTTCTAAGCTATAGCTTTTCTCAGTGAACATAATATCGTTACAGTTAGCTTAGCTACTGATTGGGGGGAATCAAATATATACTGGTTGGACTAAAATAGAAATGCACAGAATGTAGAACTTGTAGGAGTGACTTTTGGGAATGGTCCTGTGCAGGGCTAAGGGTTGGACTTGGTGATCCTTGTGGGTACCTTCCAACTCAGCATATTCTGGGATTTACTATGCTTTTGAACAACATAATCCAAATATATCAAGTGGGAAAAACATTTCTCTCTGTAGATTTCTGTATCTATACAAGTACTTATACAACTATTAAACAGCTTCTATTTGCAACTCATGGCAAGAGGGGGTGTTTTTCTAAGAAGTACAGACCTTCAATCAGAACATAATGTTAAGCTTTAAAATTAGAGGGATATATAGAGGTCTGGTTTATACTAGTTTTACAGAAGTGTATTCCTGTTAACTTCAGTGCAGGTACTCTCCTTTTCATCAGCTTAAGCAAGCTTGGAATAAAACCAAAAACCTTTAATGAAGTTTTAATGATCCACTTGGGGGAGCTAAAGGGTAATCTGTTTCCAAATTGATTAGGACAAAATGTTTGGGATGCAAAATTAAGTTACAGAATACAAGCAGAGTCTTCCACTTTTTTTTCCAGCTCAGTGCTAGTTGTTAATCTAACTTAGCTTCTCAGGCAAAGGGTCCCCAGTTCTTATTAAAATCCAGCCACTTACAGAAAAAAACCACAGTTATAAATAGCTTAGCAGCAGACACCTATAATAGCATCAATCATATCCTGACTTTAATTATACAACTACAACATACACTGAATGCCACAGAGTTTGGTCCTTACTCTACATTTTTGCGCCAGTTAACATTGACTGTATTGTAACAGCAAGAAAAGAAATTCTAACATGCAATGGTTTTGTCTTTCAAGTGATATGATATAACTCCATTTATATTTTTCTTTCTCTTCTTTTCTTTAGATGCCGGTCTCAGGCTATACCTACTTCTGCCTCATGCACCAGTTACTGTGTTGAAACATGGTTTTGCACCGTAGTTATGTTCTTCATTTCTCCAGCCTGGGACACAGTGGGAACTGTTCCATAGTATAAAACTATACCAACTGCTTTATCCTATGTTTGATTGCCTATGATTACTGGTAGCCCTTTGACTGTTTGGGACTCAGGCACTAATCAGAAACAAAGATGCAGTATCTCCTACAATGGAAGGAAGAGCAAAGCCTTTTGTCTGTGAAGAGTCAATAAAAATATGATATTGGGTTTTTCTTCATGTAGAGATTGCACTAAAGTTCAGATAAACTGACAATACAGTTGATTTCAAAAGTCACAGCAGATCCCAAGCTACAATCATCTATCTTTCATAAGAGAAAACAACTCAGTTTCAGACACATAACTTACATGAAAATTCCACTGGCAAAGCTGTACAGTCAATGTCTTCATTGTAACAGCACAAACTTCATCTCATTCCAAATTACCCTGCAGTGCAGTCCACACTAAAGTTTATGGTTGCCCAATTCGGGCATTGAATGTAATTGACTCATGTAAATAAAGTTTCAAGCAAAAGTGATAATTAAAGAAAATACTGTGTTCTTTTAGCATTACCTAATAACTATACTTAAGGTTTCCTTGTTTTATGTTTACTTTAGACAGAGCATGTATAAAAAGTAAACTGTAAGTATCTTTATAAGAAGTACTTTAAAACTCATGCTTTGTAGCCATAAACTCCCAAAACATATTTTTAATGTCGTTCAGCAGCCTGAAGGCAAACACAATCATGCTGATTGAATACCATGCTAAAGACAATGGCAAAGTAAATGGAAGTAAAGGTACAGTCAACCTAGGTACAGGCATAAAAGCTGTAGTCATTAACAGTACCTGATGATAGTATTTGTAGTGAAAATTGCTTTCCTGCTTTCTCCTTGATGTATAAGGACAAGTACTACGTAATGTATTTAGGAGGAACTACTGCTATAAATTGATCAACTTACATTAATTAACTCAATCTCCCAGATTTTTTTCACAAGGTCCATCGATGTATAGCCATTAATTAGAAAGGATTTGGTATAGTCACCCAGTTCAATGGAATCCAGCCATTCAGCTACAGAGGTGGGGTTGTAGCCATCGTGACCGATCTGCTTCATCTGAAAAACAAGAATGAGCAAAAATTCCTGATTATACTCATTAAACATCTTTTAGAAAAGGAGTTATGGGTATTATTTTCTTTGGGTCAGTTATTCTCTGATCAACATTCTTTTAGTGATTAGTACAACATGAAATAATTTTGTGTGCAAAAGCAGTAATAAAACAATTGTCAATGGATATTTTTCTTATGATTGCTTGCCTTTTACACCAGACTGTACTAAGACTGTAGCTGGAGTTCAATTCTTACTAGACAGAGAATCCACGAGTGGGGGAAGGCAAATAGGTGGAAGAGACATTATTAATATCCTGACTGCACAAAAATGTCAGATTTGCACCTACAATTTCATAGAAGGGAAGAAATTAGACTGAGAAATGGTTCTTTTGGTATCACTGCAAATGAAACATATCGCCTTGGTTATATTATTCCTAATTTATCTTTTCTACCAGGCTTTCTGTTATTTTATAATGGTTGAAGCTGCACTGTACTTTTTCTGCCCCGAGGGAAGGTTTAAAAAAAGTCTCTTTCCTCTACCTGTTCACATTTTTCATGGAACTCCTGGGAATTTATCATATTTTAGATTGCTCACTGTCTGTAAAGTTGTTTGAGAACGGACAATCGAATCAGATATTATTGGAATGGAATTGACAGAATGATGTGCACAGAAGTGCACCACTTGCATTTATATAGCAACACAGTTGCCTAATCTCATAAATCTTGTTTTCATAAAAAACTGAGAAATACCACTGGCATCTTATTTTTCTGAATTTTGTTAAGCTACTAAGAAGCAAAAAGCTGCAATTTCTCTTTCACAATTGCCTCTCAGTGACAAAAGTGAAGACTTTCAAGCTAGCCATTAAAGATAAAAATGTATAAAGCCTCTACCTGTGCAGTTTGTTATGCCATATTGTTTTTATGAATTTTAAAGCAATCTACAATAGTGGCAGAAATAGAAGTGCAATGAAATAGAAAAAATTATGCAATAGCCTCAATTTTCAACAGTATTATAAGCATATCATCTTTCTACAGAAGTGTAATTATTGCTAACTTGATAATACACTGAAGTGGTAAAATGTTAAGAAGCTTTAAAGGTTTAGAAACCTTGTGTTTTGCATAGGATCTCCTGACCGTGCAAGGGTGACACTGCGAATAGTGAAAGCCAGCCTCCCATTTCTGCCTGCTTATATACATTCCTACTTTAGGAGAAACAAGGGAAGTTTGACAGAAACCTAATGCTTTGAGCTTAAGTTTTAAGTGAGTGACAAAGTAATTTCAAAAGGAGAGAATTCTGATCTTAATATCTTGCCTGAACCAATTTATTTCCCACAGTTTATCTGAAATATAATTTGAATTCAAAGCAGAGAAAAGAAAATTAAAGTCTGCATTTGAAAGCCACTGTACTGCTCATCGATCTGTCTGTTCAAATGCAGAAAGCCAGCATGTCGTGATCTTGATCTTGGTTTCCTGCAGTATCAGAGAGCAGTGATGCAGGCACATTGCACCATGGATATGACAGTTTACTCTTTTGCTGCAGACGTTGGGTATAAAATATTTAAATGATGTAGTGAAACCATTATCTTAAATTACAAAGGAAAGACAAGAGAAATCATATAATTAACAAAAGGAATTAAGCCTTTCAGGTCACTCCTGTAACAAAGGAGTCATACTGGAAAGTAAGAGCTCAGTTTTGTTGTTGAACCTGACATTTTGGAATTTATTTTCATCCTAATTTAAAATTAAATTATTCTATGTCAAAAGCATGGCAAATTCTTCTTTCATCGTCATTCAGATTTGCTTTAAATATTAGATTGATAGTAATCTGTCCAGCAGACTGCTAAAACATTGAGGATCCTGGGAGGTCTGACTCCTAGGAATCTTATTTCAAGAGCTGATTTTAAACAAGGTATGCTTAAACAGGTGACACTTGAAAAGCAAGAACCTGATAAACAGAAGAAGAAAAATCTTATATAGAGAAGATATGAAGACATACAGGGCCAATAAGGAACAAATGAGTTTGGAAAATATGAGGTATTTTTGTTTCCTTGTCTAACAAAGCAAAACAAAGCACCATCAAAACAATTTTCAATGTATCCAGATGGGGTATGTTATGCAAATTATTTCTTTTGTTTATTACTACTTGATCTTTACCTTTAATAAATTCTGATTTTAATATGACTTTTTTTTTGACCTGTTGATTGAGAAAACCCACACAGTCTGGTCTGTAATTTTGGTAACTCAACAGCCTCTGAAAAGTAAATACAGCATGGCAAGTTTCTAAATTCTAAATTCCCACTGGAGATCTTCAACAAAAGGGTTGTTAAAACAGATATTCCTCTAATATGGCTGCAGGCAAGTAAACGCAGGTGAGCAATAAGCAAGAGGCTGAGAACAACTGAAATGGATTTGACAATTTCACTGTTTGGATTTGGTCACTCAACAGCCTACATGAAACATTGGTCTGTTTTTTGGGCAGCAGAACGCTCTGCAAGTATTTTCCCTCTTCCTATCCCAGAGATTTGGTTGCCTTTGTTCAAGGCCATGCTGCAGGTACTGCAGGTGCATAGCCTTGAATCAGTGTGAGGAAGAGTGGGGAGAAGTCTAGACAGGGCCACCCCACCTTCTGCAGGAGCTGCCTGTGATCTCAGGTCCATGTCCTGACACTTGCCTGAGCTATGCTGTAGGTATGTCTGTGCCTGGCCATGCACCTTGCTGATCCTCAGCCACTGAGTCACCCTCCAGATTGACCTTGTCCCATTCTCATCCCTATGGATGTCCTGTGGATTTGCTCTGGGATGTAGCTGCTCAGAGTCACTGCCACTGTCCCTGCCTTTACTTGCCTTGTCTCAGTGCTTCCTGCCCACTGTCCCCCTGAGCTCCCTCCCTGAGCCTACCTACCATGGCAGGACAGTTGTTCCTATCACAGAAAATTAATCTCAGAACTAGAATATATGCTATTAGTTTCATCACAAAAGCAATATTTTGTTTTCTCATGAACTAAGAACACCCTCTTATCTAAAAGAGACTTTCTAAAATGTGTCCAGTATATGAAAATTAATAAACTTTCAGTATCTGTCCTCTTGTATGGGAAGGTCTTTTTCTGTCTGTTAATAACATCAACTAGCTTATTAACTGTCATTCATAGCTGGCTGAATGTTTTCCTTTTACATACTTACTGACAGATATACTGGTTATATAGATGTGACAGTATCATTAGTAGTATCTGCTTTTCATATAAAATGTTACTGAGTTTTGAAATAAAAACTCTTTGAAGTATCTCTCTGGAAGTGCTGTCCTTTTACTTTATGAGAATTCCAGTTTAGTTGCATCTTATCCCAGTCCTCATTAACAGGTCATAGTGCTTAGACTATTTTTTCTTCTATACTGCACTTTATTCTGTGATTCTGAGACTATCTTAGACTCCTCTCAGATCATTTAGATCCTGTAGGCTTCCTTCCTGATGTTATTTGCTGTGATTTTTTTTCTGAAAGAAGAACTCCCTCCTATCTACTGAGTGTATTTCCATGTATAATATTTCAATCATTTTGCATCAGCTACAACATATGCACCAGTGGTGTCAAACACCTAAGCAATGTGCATACTGTTTGACTCAGATCAGTGTAAAATCTCTGAGCTTCAAGTCATGACAGTGTTTCAAATATTAATTGCTTATAAATAGGGGCAGTATCGTTCTTCCACAGATACTACTACTAATTAATTTAGTTCATTAGAGAACAATACCAATGTTAGCTCTTTCACTGCAGAAAACTTTTCCATGCTGACTGTAGAAAAGGCTAGGAATTGAAGCCCATAGGATTTAGAGAAAAAGAAATGTTTACGAAAATATAAAAAGGAGTGTGGAAGAAGACACAAACCATATGAGATTTCTTTCCTAGGTCCTATTGATCTTTACTAGTATCACTTCCTTTGAAATGAATAGAAAGCAGAAGCCAGAAAGAGCTGTTTCTCATAATAAAATAGTAATGTCAAGTAGCATCTTAATGGGTTGAGAAATTCTTCACAAGAGACTGTCTGTACAACAGACTTTTTAAAGGTGCATCACTGCTGTGATTATATACCGTATTTTACATTAGGTTAAAAGGTACTTAAGTTTTTGCCTCTAAAAGGTAGTCAAACACAAATAGAGCTTCAAAGTAATCATATATGCACCAGAAGCATCAAGGCGAATTCAGTAACACAGACTATTGCCAGTTTTCTCTGATCTTCTCAGACAGATGGGGAATTAATACTATGTTCTCCACAGGTAATATCACTATCTGGTGGATCTTAACACTGTGTGTATTAAAATCAAGCTTTTTATCCACTGTAAAAGAAGGATGAGATTACTTGACTTGCACTGCTTTTTAAAGGATGGTTATGATTTTATGCTTATGTTGGTTTGGAAGAAAGATCTTTTTAGCAAGCATATAGTCCTTTCTTTTACACCACTGGCCCACCCAAGAGATCTAAGCAGTGTTTTTTAGAACTTATATGAAACTATAAACTACCAAGCTAAGTAATTTTGGATTATTGTAATGTTGTATGTATCAGTCCTTTTTTTTCCCCCTGTATTTGTGAGTTGTCTGTTACATATTACTTACTTTACAAATATGATCACTTGGAGTCATGTTGTTGGAAGAGGAGATCATTCCTCCTCTGGATCATTGAAAGAGAAGCTCAGAAGAGTAACACTTTGAAGATCAGAGAGCCTGGCTGGCACAGTGGGACCATGTGGAGCTTGTGCCTGCAGTGCCTGGGCAGAAATCGAGCCTGCAGTCAGGGGCAGAGGAGCAGCTTTCGCAGAGGATGGGTACAAAACCCTAAGGACCTGAGAAGACTTTGCATTTGCTGCTGCTGAAAAAGACACTGAGTGAAAACAGGGACCTGACTGCAGAGACACAGTGGGTGAGGAAGAACTCTATATAAACCTTTTGGTTTTCTGTTCTGTCTACCCTGTCACATATTTTAAAAGTTAACTATTAAAGCTTGTGTTCTTTTAATATT